ACTCAACACTGCCCATAGACTCAACACTGCCCATAGACTCAACACTGCCCACAGACTCAACACTGCCCATAGACTCAAACCTGCCCACAGACTCAACACTGCACCATAGACTCAACACTGCACCATAGACTCAACACTGCACCATAGACTCAACACTGCACCATAGACTCACATTGCACCTCGATTAGCAAGGTTGGTTACGTACGGTGCGAAAGAAGCTCAACGTACATGCACACGTACAATGAAGAGTGTTTTACACGCGGGGCGGTAAACCAGAGCACTCGGATAAACAACCCCACGCGTGCGAGGTGGCAACGCTCTATCCCCCACACCTTCAGGCCATGCTTCCACCCCCACGTGAGAGACGCCGTGCCACCCGATGGTGCACAACCCCTGCCAAGCCTCGCCCTTGCTCCCCTCCCCCAAGTTGCCAGAACATTTCTCCCTGTCAGTGCCTGATTAACCTTGTTCGGGGCCTGGGGCATGATGATAATACTGTGTAGGAACCTCCTGGTTACTACACCAGCAGCTCAAAGGGGATTATTGTGTCCGTCCGTACGTCGTGCATCCAAAAATGGGAGGGGTGGGGCTGGGTGGAGAGCGGAGGGTGGGGAGGGAGGGGCTGGGTGGGGAGGGTGTGGGTGGGGAGGGGCTGAGTGGGGAGGGGCTGGGAGGGGCTGGGTGGGAAGGGTGGGGCTGGGTGGGGGGTGGGAGGGGTGGGGCTGAGTGGGGAGGGGCTGGTCACCCCGTGGTGCCCTTATAAAACTCAACGTTTAACCTACTCACGCCGGCTTGTGCCCGCCCTCACAGTCGGGCATATTTGCGGAATACACCACGTGGTGCCGTTGACCCTGGCCAATGACCGAGCAACCCAACGTCCCTACCAGCTCCCTCCCCAGGAATGTGTTAAAGGGGCCCTAAATAAATAAATAAACGTTAATATTAAAACACAAATTTTTAACTTGCATAGTAAAGTAATTGTATTTTTTTCATTTGCGATACAGCCAGATAATATGACAAATCGCTAACCTCAAGCACTCAGTCGTTCATAAAAGCTGAAGGCGGTATAGTACTATAGCAATAGAGCAAGTGCAGAATCACTGAACCGGAATTGATAGCTTGAAAGCATTTAGCGCGGGGCCCTTGAAAGTGCGGGGCCCGTAGCTACTACTACACATGTAGCTACTACTACACGTGTAGCTACTACTACACGTGTAGCTACTACTACACGTGTAGCTACTACTACACGTGTAGCTACTACTACTACACGTGTAGCTACTACTACACATGTAGCTACTACTACTACACATGTAGCTACTACTACTACACATGTAGCTACTACTACTACACATGTAGCTACTACTACTACACATGTAGCTACTACTACTACACATGTAGCTACTACTACACGTGTAGCTACTACTACTACACATGTAGTTACTACTACTACACATGTAGCTACTACTACTACACATGTAGCTACTACTACTACACATGTAGTTACTACTACTACACGTGTAGCTACTACTACTACAGGTGTAGCTACTACTACTACACGTGTAGCTACTTTGCTACGAAGATAATCCGGCACTGCTCCAGTGTCTGGATATCTAACTGCCTCCCTGATGAACACTTTGTCGGCGAAATCACCGATTCTGTTCTTCAGGCCTTCAAATGCCGAGCACACACTGCTACTGATACTCCTAGTGACTCATGCAGCCAGCTATGGCTGCAAAGTTTGGTAGTATATGTTATCTTCTTTGGTTCTTTCTTTACCGAAAGAACCAAAGAAGATGAATCATTGCAGTCACGAAAGCTTTAAATCGAAAAGTACATGTTATGTATATCGTTTATTGTTAAATTTGAATCACAGTTCCTATGATCACTATTACATTGCTTTTATAGCTTTATTTTGGTGATTTTTTAAACGTTTTGGTTTAGCCGTATTTGTTTGTTGTAGTACAGAGTTAGACTGATATCTTTAATCTAAATTGTCTTACGGTTGTTATTGTTTGACTTGCATCCCACTGGGATTTTTGCACACAGTGTTGAAATACGGCGTTTTTTCTGCAAGACTTTGCCGTTTCTTCTTGGATTTTTATGCTTGCGCGTAGTCACTTTAAGATGTTTTCTTGTTCGTGTTTTTGTTTTGCTGCCGTTGCACCCGAGTCAAGAGCCGCGTGGCTCACAGGGTCATACCTAATACATGAAACTGAACCTACTTGCGCCCGAAAGAATTCGCTCCACCGCGCGGTTTGAATTCACCCTACGTGCGGCGATGCGATCAGCACGTGGGGCAGTGTTGTGTGCGGGTCTCGACGGCCGCGTTTCTTCCCCCTCTGTCTCCTCCAGCACCGCCGACGAGGCTCAAGCCCACGCCGACTTGCGGCGAGATCGGACGCCGTCACGCCGAGCTGATCTTTGACGGCGGTGGCCGAATTCGATTCCTTAACTCTCCCTCCATGATGCCTCTTCCCCCCCACCCCCCCCCCACCACCAGACGTGTCTCCCATCGTGGTGGGAATCCTTGGCGCGACGGCGCTGGTGGTGGCGGCGGCCGTCACCGCGCTGTCGTGGACCTGCTGCCGGCGTCGTGGCGGGGACGGCTCCAAGCCGGCGGCGAGTCCGCCCTACCGCCTCGTCCACATGCTCAAGGGCGTCACCGACATCTACGGCGCCGGCGAGAAGCGCCACCCGTCGCGCAGCAAGCACGGCTCCGAGCAGCAGCAGCAGCAGCAGCCGGGCAGCGACCGGCACGGCAAAGGCGGCGCCGCCGCCGCCGCCGCCACGCTCAACAACAACAACAACAACGTGGTGGTGGTGCGCTTCGGCAGCGATGAGGCCGGCGCCCGCGACGGCGCTGTGCAGTCCCGACCGGGCCGGCGGCGGTGCCGGCGGCGGCGGCGGCGGCGGCCTCGGTTTCGGCTCCGGTCCGGTACGCACGCCGCCCATCATCGAGCCGTTCCGCCACGTCAGGAACGCCGCCGGCGCCTTCCCCGACAAGTCCAGCCCGTCGTCGGCGGCGGCGGCGGGGGCGGCGGCGGCGTCGTCCTCCTCCTCGTCGTCCCTGTCTTCGTCAGCGGCGACGAAGGCCGGCTCCCCGCACACCCCGCCGTACCTCTCGTCGCTCTCCTCCTCCTCGTCCTCCTCGTCGTCCTCCTCGTCGGCGGCCGCGGGCGGCTCGGCGCCACCGGAGGACCTGCCGCTGGGCGCGCTCTGCTTCTCGGTGGAGTACAACTTCGCCAGGAAGGCGCTCGTGGTGACGATCCAAGGCGCGCGCGGCCTGCCCGCCATGGACGGCCAAACGGGCAGCTCCGACCCCTACGTCAAGATGACCATCCTGCCCGAGAAGAAGCACAAGGTGAAGACGCGGGTGCTTCGCCGCACGCTCGACCCCTCCTTCGACGAGACGTTCACCTTCTACGGCGTGCCGCACGCGCAGCTCCAGGGTCTCGTGCTGCACTTCCTCGTGCTCAGCTTCGACCGCTTCTCCCGCGACGACGCCATCGGCGAGGTGATGGCGCCGCTCGCCGGCGTCGAGCTAGGGGGCGACAAGGTGACGCTGACGCGCGACATCGTCAAGAGGAACATACAGGTACGGCCCATCCCCTCCCCCCCCGCCCGCCCCTTCCGCTCCGTGCACCGCCCCTCGCCGCAGAGCCGTGCGAACCACCAACCCAGCGATGCAGCCCATTCGAAATAGTTTTTTGGGGAATTTCACCGCAATTTAACGTCACGAGGCAAAAGCTACACGTTCCCTCGAGACGAACTTAGTCAGGCGGCAGAGCGGCCCCTTCGTGTTCTTGGAGAATGGCCCCACGGAAGTGGATATCATGGAGCTAGCTCCTGAGCTCCCTTCAAGTGACCTCAGCTACAGCGGGCAGTGACGAGGGCAGCACTTTTCCCGCCCGCTCGGCATGTGAGAGCGGCGATTCCTCGCGTGGCGGTCACACCGGTGCTTTTTTGCATTCCCACAGCTGGAATTTAGCCCAACTAAGTGCAGAGGCCAGTTTAGCTCGGTTATGTTTATTTATTCATTCATGAATTCCGTCTTTTTTTTTTACGCATTCAAAAGTCGACCATCAGCTCGCTCCGCCTGAGAACCCCGTTTAATCACGGGCGGCGGCCGAGAGCCGGATTCGAACCCAGGGACCTGGGCGGTGCGGCCTCAAGGCGTCTCTGACCTCTGACCTCTGGGCCAACCCGGCCGCTCCTTCGTGGACGTTCCATTTAAAATGGCCGATTGGGACGGATACCAACCCCCCACCACGCCCACCCCCACGCCGCACCCACGCCCCCCACCACGTCCCCCCACCACGCCCCCACCACGCCCCCCCACCACGCCCCCCCACTGTGGCGTGAGACAAGGGGCGGAGCGCTGCGTGTGACGAGCTGCCCCAATTGGTCTTCAATGACGCGCGCGTCGAGGCCGGGGATGGGATGGGAATTGGCCGGGGGGTGAGATCGAGGGGGGGGATGGAGGTGCACGGAGGTGAGGGGACGTCCGCTCTCGGCCACGGGCGCGGAGCAAGCCAGGGGGCGCGTCGGTTCCGAAACGCCGGTGACGGTGACGGTGCGCCCGCCCCCCCCCCACCGCCGTTTGTGTCGTCCCATCCGTTAGCCTCGGAAGCGGTGGGATGAGAAAACGAGCGGCGTCAAAATAATGAAAATAAATATTAAATATCAATGATACCACCATCATCATCATCACTGCCACTAGCATCATCTAGCCACCAACGACATGATCACCACCATCACCACCACCGTCATCACCGCCACCATCACCACCACTGTCATCACCACCGTCATCACCACCACAATCACCGCCACTGTCATCACCGCCACTGTCATCACCGCCACCGTCATCACCACCGCCATCATCACCAACACCATCACCACCAGCACCGTCATCACCGCCACCACCATCACCGCCACTGTCATCACCACCGCCATCATCACCACCACCATCACCACTGTCATCACCGCCACTGTCATCACCGCCACTGCCATCACCGCCACTGTCATCACCGCCGCCATCATCACCACCGTCATCACCACCACCATCACCGCCACTGTCATCACCGCCACTGCCATCACCGCCACTGTCATCACCGCCGCCATCATCACCACCACCATCACCGCCACCGTCATCACCACCACTGTCATCACCGCCACCGTCATCACCACCACTGTCATCACCGCCACCGTCATCATCACCGCCATCACCACCACCATCACCACCAGCACCGTCATCACCACCGCCATCATCACCGCTACTGTCATCACCGCCACTGTCATCACCAGCACCGTCATCACCGCCACCATCATCACCGCCACTGTCATCACCACCGCCATCATCACCACCACCATCACCACCAGCACCGTCATCACCACCGCCATCATCACCACCACCATCACCACCAGCACCGTCATCACCGCCACCATCATCACCGCCACTGTCATCACCACCGCCATCATCACCACCACCATCACCACCAGCACCGTCATCACCACCGCCATCATCACCACCACCATCACCACCAGCACCGTCATCACCGCCACCATCATCACCGCCACTGTCATCACCACCGCCATCATCACCACCACCATCACCACCAGCACCGTCATCACCGCCACCATCATCACCGCCACTGTCATCACCACCGCCATCATCACCACCACCATCACCACTGTCATCACCGCCACTGTCATCACCGCCACTGCCATCACCGCCACTGTCATCACCACCGCCATCATCACCACCACCATCACCACTGTCATCACCGCCACTGTCATCACCGCCACTGCCATCACCGCCACTGTCATCACCGCCGCCATCATCACCACCACCATCACCGCCACCGTCATCACCGCCACTGTCATCACCACCGCCATCATAACCACCGTCATCACCACCACCATCACCGCCACTGTCATCACCGCCACTGCCATCACCGCCACTGTCATCACCGCCGCCATCATCACCACCACCATCACCGCCACCGTCATCACCGCCACTGCCATCACGGCCACCGTCATCACCACCACCATCACCACCAGCACCGTCATCACCACCGCCATCATCACCGCCACTGTCATCACCGCCACTGTCATCACCAGCACCGTCATCACCGCCACCATCATCACCGCCACTGTCATCACCACCGCCATCATCACCACCACCACCAGCACCGTCATCACCACCGCCATCATCACCACCACCATCACCACCAGCACCGTCATCACCACCACCATCATCACCGCCACTGTCATCACCACCGCCATCATCACCACCACCATCACCACTGTCATCACCGCCACTGTCATCACCGCCACTGCCATCACCGCCACTGTCATCACCGCCGCCATCATCACCACCACCATCACCGCCACCGTCATCACCGCCACTGTCATCACCACCGCCATCATCACCACCGTCATCACCACCACCATCACCGCCACTGTCATCACCGCCACTGCCATCACCGCCACTGTCATCACCGCCGCCATCATCACCACCACCATCACCGCCACCGTCATCACCGCCACTGCCATCACGGCCACCGTCATCACCACCACTGTCACCACCGCCACCGTCATCATCACCGCCATCACCACCACCATCACCACCAGCACCGTCATCACCCCCGCCATCATCACCGCCACTGTCATCACCGCCACCGTCATCACCACCACCATCACCGCCACTGTCATCACCGCCACTGCCATCACCGCCACTGTCATCACCGCCGCCATCATCACCACCACCATCACCGCCACTGTCATCACCGCCACTGCCATCACCGCCATCATCACCGCCGCCATCATCACCACCACCATCACCGCCACTGCCATCACGGCCACCGTCATAAGTGCGGTCATTATTCTTGGCACCGCTGCACCGAGCAGATGATTGTCAAATCGGCAGGGGAGATAAACACCCACCAGGCAGCTGCCTGCAAAATCATTTGCGGTAATTTTTTTTTTCAAATCCGCGTGTGAAACTGATATTCCAATCTCTTTTAATTTCACTCTAACGGCCGCAGTTTTAGTTTTATTATTATTTTTACTTTTCATCTTCTTCTCTCTTCGCGGAAAGTGCGCCGAGCGCGTGGATTTACAGCGCCGTTTAGAAGCCTAACGAGCCGTTTGCCGAACGTCTGAGCGCCGTTTTCGGAATTTGCATTCACGAAATCGCCCCGCAAGAAGACGCGTGGGGGGGGGGGAGGTGGGAGCGGTACCCGTGTAATCGCGCCGGAGAAACTTCGACCGGGAGATTCCTTCGGCGCGCTGTTGCACCTCGCCGTGCCGACTCATAAACAAGGGCGCACCGACAATTTGAAGCGCCGTTTGCCAAAACCGCAACGGGTGGCTGCTTGCCCGCGTCTGCGGGGCCACGTTGCAGGTCCCCGCCGACACTGCGGCTTTTGTGGGCCCCCCCACCCCACCCACCAACTTCTCCTGTTCCCAGTTCATGTCTACTACTACTACTATCAATATTTGTGTTATTGTACCAGGTAACTGGGCCGTGTGTAGCTCTTTTTCAGAAGCGGCCTGGCCATCGCAAATGACGGCGCGAAACGAAGTTTTGTCGTCCGCGTGGACGCACGCGTTGACTTCTAAACGTGGAGGGGGTTAAAACTGGAGGGTTTTTTTTAAATCCACGCAACCACAGGGAGAGAGAGAGAGAGACGCAAACTCCAAATATACAGCAGGCATCAGGGTCGGGATCGAACCCACGTCCTCCTGCATACCAGGCGAGGTAGTTAACATCTCCTAGCCACCGTGATGATGAGAGAGAGAGAGAGACACGCAAACTCCAAATATACAGCAGCAGCAGGCGTCAGGGTCGGGATCGAACCCACGACCTCCTGTACACCAGGCGAGGGAGTCAACATATCCTGGCCACCACGGCGCCCTTCTCCCGGGGCGAGCGGTGGTGCCGTGTGTGCCTTGCCCCCCACGCGAGGGGGGTCAGGGCGCACCGCGTGGCACCACCGACGCCTCGCAGAAAACGAATCCCAAAACCGGCGAAACGACTGCGACGCGAGTCAGCCGCCGTCAACGGCGCACAGGGAGAACGCGGCAATTAGCGCCTTTTCAGCTTAATTGCCCATTCTGCCGGAGGCAAGAGGGAAGATGTTGAGAAGGAACGACGGCCCTGTTCACTTAATTGGCCCGGGCCCCCACGTCCAAGGAGCCCCCCCCCCCCGCCCCCCGTCCCCACGCCGCGCGATTAACGACGGGACACGAATTCGCATCGCGTTCAGTGTCGACGACTTCCCTTCTCCCCTCCACGCTCTCCACCCCCTCCTGTCTCACGCTCTCCCTTCCGCCTCCTCGCTCCCTTCACCGCTTGCTCTCCCGTTCTCTTAAATCTCCTCCGTCCACTTTCCTCTTCTGCCGTTACATCCTCCCTCGCCTCGTCGTGACGCCTCCTCCCTTCTCCCCTCCTCTCCCTCACTCTTCCTCTCCCCAAACCTCCTCTCTCTCCCCCTCCTCTCCCTCCCCCTCCTCTCCCTCCCCCTCCTCTCCCTCCCCTCCTCTCTCTCCCCCTCCTCTCCCTCCCTCTCCCTCCCCCTCCTCTCCCTCCCCCTCCACTCCCTCACTCTTCCTCTCCCCTTACCTCCTCTCTCTCCCCCTCCTCTCCCTCCCCCTCCTCTCCCTCCTCCTTCCTCTTCCCTCCTCTCCTCTCCCTCCTCTCCTCTCCCTCCCTCTCGCCCCTCCCTCTCCCCCGTGCTCTCCCTCCCCCCTCCTCTCCCTCTCCCCTCCCCTCCCTCCCCCCCTCCCCCCCTCTATACCGCTGCGCTGGGCAGAAGTCTGTGGGCCGGGGGGAGCTGCTGCTGTCCCTCTGCTACCAACCATCCACCAGCCGCCTCAACGTCGTGGTGCTCAAGGCCAGACACCTTCCCAAGACGGACATCGCCGCTCTCTCCGGTACCTCCACCTCCTCCAACTCATCTTCCTCCGCCTCTTCCTCCAACTCATCTTCCTCCAACTCATCTTCCTCCGCCTCTTCCTCCAACTCATCTTCCTCCACCTCTTCCTCCAACTCATCTTCCTCCACCTCTTCCTCCAACTCATCTTCCTCCAACTCATCTTCCTCCGCCTCTTCCTCCAACTCATTTTCCTCCACCTCTTCCTCCAAGTCATCTTCCTCCGCCTCTTCCTCCAACTCATCTTCCTCCGCCTCTTCCTCCAAGTCATCTTCCTCCGCCTCTTCCTCCAACTCATCTTCCTCCACCTCTTCCTCCAACTCATCTTCCTCCACCTCTTCCTCCAACTCATCTTCCTCCGCCTCTTCCTCCAAGTCATCTTCCTCCGCCTCTTCCTCCAACTCATCTTCCTCCACCTCTTCCTCCAACTCATCTTCCTCCACCTCTTCCTCCAAGTCATCTTCCTCCGCCTCTTCCTCCAACTCATCTTCCTCCGCCTCTTCCTCCAAGTCACCTTCCTCCGCCTCTTCCTCCAACTCATCTTCCTCCACCTCTTCCTCCAACTCATCTTCCTCCGCCTCTTCCTCCAACTCATCTTCCTCCGCCTCTTCCTCCAAGTCATCTTCCTCCGCCTCTTCCTCCAACTCATCTTCCTCCACCTCTTCCTCCAACTCATCTTCCTCCACCTCTTCCTCCAACTCATCTTCCTCCGCCTCTTCCTCCAACTCATCTTCCTCCGCCTCTTCCTCCAAGTCATCTTCCTCCACCTCTTCCTCCAACTCATCTTCCTCCACCTCTTCCTCCAACTCATCTTCCTCCACCTCTTCCTCCAACTCATCTTCCTCCAACTCATCTTCCTCCACCTCTTCCTCCAACTCATCTTCCTCCAACTCATCTTCCTCCGCCTCTTCCTCCAACTCATCTTCCTCCACCTCTTCCTCCAACTCATCTTCCTCCACCTCTTCCTCCAACTCATCTTCCTCCGCCTCTTCCTCCAACTCATCTTCCTCCACCTCTTCCTCCAACTCATCTTCCTCCACCTCTTCCTCCAACTCATCTTCCTCCACCTCTTCCTCCAAGTCATCTTCCTCCACCTCTTCCTCCAACTCATCTTCCTCCACCTCTTCCTCCAACTCATCTTCCTCCGCCTCTTCCTCCAACTCATCTTCCTCCACATCTTCCTCCAACTCATCTTCCTCCACCTCTTCCTCCAACTCATCTTCCTCCACCTCTTCCTCCAAGTCATCTTCCTCCGCCTCTTCCTCCAAGTCATCTTCCTCCGCCTCTTCCTCCAACTCATCTTCCTCCACCTCTTCCTCCAACTCATCTTCCTCCAACTCATCTTCCTCCAACTCATCTTCCTCCACCTCTTCCTCCAACTCATCTTCCTCCACCTCTTCCTCCAAGTCATCTTCCTCCACCTCTTCCTCCAACTCATCTTCCTCCACCTCTTCCTCCAACTCATCTTCCTCCGCCTCTTCCTCCAACTCATCTTCCTCCACCTCTTCCTCCAACTCATCTTCCTCCACCTCTTCCTCCAACTCATCTTCCTCCACCTCTTCCTCCAAGTCATCTTCCTCCGCCTCTTCCTCCAAGTCATCTTCCTCCGCCTCTTCCTCCAACTCATCTTCCTCCACCTCTTCCTCCAACTCATCTTCCTCCAACTCATCTTCCTCCAACTCATCTTCCTCCACCTCTTCCTCCAACTCATCTTCCTCCACCTCTTCCTCCAAGTCATCTTCCTCCACCTCTTCCTCCAACTCATCTTCCTCCACCTCTTCCTCCAACTCATCTTCCTCCGCCTCTTCCTCCAACTCATCTTCCTCCACCTCTTCCTCCAACTCATCTTCCTCCACCGTCCCTTCCAGACACGGCGGAGAATTCTCGGCAGATTCAGGAGTCGGGCACTGCAATTAGCTTCGATGAACCGATTTTTTAAAAATTATATAGTTTTTTTTCTTCTTTGGTTCTTTCGGTAAAGTCACGTAGAATGAGAATAAAATAATAAATTGATCAAATAAAATAACACAATAATATTCTCACGACGTTTCGGCCACAACACAAGCGGCCTTCATCAGGTGAAGGGACGTCTCGTCTCGTCCCTTCACCTGATGAAGGCCGCTTGTGTTGTGGCCGAAACGTCGTGAGAATATTATTGTGTTATTTTATTTGATCAATTTATTATTTTATTCTCATTCTACGTGACTTTACCGAAAGAACCAAAGAAGATGAATCCTTGCAGTCACGAAAGCTTTAAATATTTTTTTTTCGTTTAACCATTAATCAATATTTTATACATACAATGGATTAATGGGTTTAATCAATGCAACGACGAATGGATAGCGCTCAAGCGCCACGCGGACACGCCAGTGGCCTACTTGATGTACTGCTTCCATCAGACACCACCTCACATCCACCATCCCCTGTAGGCTTACGTCTGCGCGAGGCCCCGCCGATCGGAAGAACCGGCCCAACGCGGCCACCACGACACCCGGCGTCACCACAAACCGCTCGCATCGCTCTCCCCCCCCCCCCCCCCACCCTCTCTCTCCTCCCTCTCCACACCGCTCCCCTCTCTGTTGCCTCTCCCTCCCCTCTCTCCACGCCTCTCCACCCCCCCACCCCAACCTTCTCGCCCTCCCTCCGCGCAGACCCCTACGTGAAGGTGAACGTGCACGTGGGGACCAAGCGCGTCGCCAAGAAGCGCACGCACGTCAAGCGCTGCACCCTCAACCCCGTCTACAACGAGTCGTTTGCCTTCGACGCGCCGGCCGAGTGGCTCCCCGAGCTCTCGGTCGAGTGCCTCGTCGTCAACTCCGACCGGGTCACCAAGAGCGAGGTCATCGGCCGGCTCTTGCTGGGCCACGGCGCCGCGGCCGCCGCCGGCGTCTCGGCAGCCGCCGAGCACTGGCGTGAGATCTTCGAGAACCCGCGGCGCCAGGTGGCCAAGTGGCACTGCCTCGGTGAGTTTTAAGGCACCGGGCGAACGCGCTCGGACCGATCCGTCGGAGGAGGAGGAGGAGGAGGGCGGCGGCGGCGGCGGGGGGGGGATGCGCTTTAAGTTGGTGCCAGTTTGTTAAAATGTTTAGTTTTAGTTGCGTTCTGACCCCCCCCACCTCCTCCTCCTCCTCCTCCTCCTCCTCCTCCTCCTCTCGTCCGTCCCGTCGCGTTCCGTTCCTCGCCGGGGCCCGGGCAGCCGCGGCGTTGATTTGGCGTCGTGCAACTTGTTCGGGTTCCGCCCCGCGGGCGCGTCGAGAGGGAGGGAGTCGCTCTCTGTTTGAGCTTCCCTTTTTACTTTCTTCTGTTTGTTGATTTATCGAATAATTTTTTTGGTTGATTTCCCGACCGGGGGTGGGGGGCATCGAGGGGGGGGGGGTCGTCGGCACCCCCCCCGCCCCCCCCCCCCGAAGGGTCAGTAAAACTCTGCGGCTGGATTCTCGGCACTGTTTTTGCGTTTGCCTCTTGCAGACATTGCGTCCGCCGATTTCCTCGATTTCTGATCATTGTTGAAATGGCCCGCTATTGTTATTATTATTATCGCACTTTATATTCACCGATATTCATATCTTCGTTCACTTTCATCCGTAAATTCTGAAACCGTCATGGACGCGAAGAAATTCGAACCAACTTTGTTTCCAGTGCGCAATATAACTGCCGCTTCCAGTAGCTATTGATACTAGATCACTTGCAAAATTTGAAAGAAAAAAAAGTTTAAAAAAAACCACGCGATTGAAAATGCCACCACCTAGCACCTGCGTTAAGTATTTTGGCCGTGCCTGAGAATCCAGCCGAGGTGAGTTTGCTGGCCTCTGCTGTCCGAAGCCTTCCGCCTGTTGGGACCCTTAAAAACCCACAGCAGCAGCAGCAGTAGCGGCAGCAGCAGCAACGGTGGCAACAGCAGCGGCAGCAACATCTGCAGGCAACCGCAGCACTCGCCTCTCCTGCAGGAAGTTGCTGCAGTTGCAGCGGCCTCTCTCAAAACCTTACGTGGATAAGAGCTACGCTGCCATTGTACTCGGCAACAGAATACGTGAAACGAAAGTCACCTTTCGAGTAAGAATTCAAAACGAAGGGTAATCGCACCCTCTAATTTCTCGCATCCGCACCTACGATTAGCGCGGCTGGCAACGTCACGGGTGAAGACCTCGCGACGCCTCGAACGCCGCCGACCGATTTTGCCCACGTGCGGAGGGCGGCTCCTCGCTAGCCCGGCCGCGTGGCGTCCCGCAAATTCAATCAACAGACGAGCGAGGACTGCCGGCTGCGTAGCGACGTTCGGCGTCGGAGGAGGAGGAGGCGCCGCCATCGACGATGGGAACGACTTTGGCGGCGAGCACGGCCGTTGTGGTCTCAGAGCTCCGTCCCCTCGTTCGTCCAGGGACGGTGGAATTGAACCAGGAGGGAGAGGGGTTGGTGGGTGGGTTAAAGGAAGGGATTCGCATTTTCGCCGGCGCTTTTGCTTGAACGTCTCGGCGGCATCGATGCGCGCGGTGCGGCGCGTCTCATCTCGAGCATTCCATTGCCCTAGCGCAGCCGGAGCCTCTAGGGTAGCGGGCGCGGGGGTTGGGTGAGTGGGGGGGGGATCCCGATGTTAGCGCAAGGTCCACACGGCACCTGCCTGCGTATTGATGTGCGTGTGTGTGCGTGTGTCTGCCAGCAAGGGAGGGGATGGTGTGATGTTTGCGATGTGTTTTTGTTGTTCTCGCTCTCTCTAGTAGGGAAGTGCGTCATGCCCGCGCGGTCGTGTTTTCGTAGAGAGAGTTCAGAAGCGATGGGAAGGGAAGCTTAAGAGGAAAGATTTTGACGAACCAAAAAAAACATATTTAAAACCCACCCCCCCCCCCCAAAATACGCCAGGACCATCACTCACGGGGATGCATTGCGTTTGATTTAATCACCGATCGTCTATGCAAATTCAGCTGGGTTTGGGGCCCCACGCGAGATTATTTATTTTCCCCCTCGTTTTTTTTTTTTTACCCATTCGCGATCAATCGCAGTTCAAAGTAAAGGAGTCCGTCGATCGGCGTTGGGGACGCCGCGAAAATCGGAGGCGTGGTGGTGGGGGTGGGGGTTAGGTGGTCAGGGGTCAGGGGGGGTCGCATTACCGTAGCGCGCCAAACCGTTCCTGCCCGCCGCGCCGCTAGGCCGGTTCCGGGCCCCGTGTCTCGCACGTTCATTAGCGCCACATTGCGCAGAGGAGAGAGCGGAAAAAAATGCATCTTACCATTTAACGAGTGAAACGAAAAAAATCGAAACATATTCCTCTCGCTGTCGCTAATTACAATAACGAACAAAATATTCCCCGCCGCCCAAATTATTTCCTTCTGATTTTTTCCATTCGGGTGGGAGCAGAACGTCGATCATCAACGTCTACGGATGCTTGAGGTCAGAGGTCGGGACCGCACATATGCGTGTTGAACTTCTTTCGCACCGTACGTAGCCAACCGTGCCTATCGGAGGTGCGGGGAAAGGAGAACGAACGAAAGACAAAAAATCAATTCTGAAGAAATGAGTTTACAATCTAGATGATAATTAAAAAGTGCATAGCTCTAGTGGATTCCCAATATCGGAGGGAAGAGCGTTCCAGACGGCCGCAGAAGCGCGTCTGAAAACGCCGCGATGCGGCGACTGCCCTCTTTGTTCGACGGTTCCCCAAACGTCGCCGCTGCTGCTGCTGCTGCTGCTGCGAGGATGACGGGGACTGCTTCGGCGCGGTCACGTGACCGATGTAGGGGACACGCGCGCTCGTTACTCGCGACCCCGAAACGCTCGCGCGTCGTCAGCGCAGGGCAGGCCCCGGACCAACAGCGACGAGACCGACAGTGGCGCTGCGCGCACGAACACGGGCGCCCCGCCCCCCCGCCCCCCCCCCCCCCCACCCCCACCCCGGTCTCACCTTTAACCGAACGAGACGTCCCTCCGTCGGTCGGACGAAGTCCTCGGAAACCCCGCGCTGTGGTCGAAATATCTCAGTCGGCGGGGAGTAGAAAGTTGCGTGGGGGACACCGTGGCGCCATGGTGGAGCCGGTCCGCTCACTCGGGAGGTCGCCGGGTTCAACCTGCCCCGAGCGGGAGTTGAAACGATGGGGCGATCTTCTCTGAAATCCCACCCGGCCACAGCCGGTGAATCAGCGGGTGACGCGCGGTGGGGTAAAGCGGGTGGGTTGCTACCCACCGCTTCCAAAGACGCCTGGCCGGCGTGGAAGAAAAAGTTCGGCCCCCCCCCCCCCAGCGAAATGCCCCCTGCCGCCAGCGGCGGGCGCGAGCAAAGGAATTTCAGGCCTGCGCCTTTGTCCCCGTGGCTTGGGGCTGCCGTAAAACCACCCCCCCCCCCCCCCCCCCCCCCCCCCCCACGTCGCTCGCCACGCGAGGGTGCGCGTGCGAGGCGAAAGCCGCCCTCCGGATGGACGCCGGAGGAAGCGCTCGCGACGATCGGCAGCCTTGAACGTGTCGCGTCAATTCCACGTTCCTTCGATGCCCCCCCCCCCGCCGGGCACGTGAACGGTGTAATCAGTTTAAAGTTTAAACGCAACGGCGGTCACAGTCGACGTGACTGCGGCGCCGGGTGCAGCATCACTCCCCCCTCGACCCCCCCGACCTCCTGCGCGTGCACACACCACGCACACACCACGCACACACCACGCACACACACCACGCACACACCACGCACACACCACGCACACACACCACGCACACACCACGCACACACACCACGCACACACCACGCACACACCACGCACACACACCGCACGCACACCACGCACACACCACGCACACACACCACGCACACACCACGCACACACCACGCACACACCACGCACACACACCGCACGCACACACCACGCACACACACCACGCACACACACCACGCACACACCACGCACACACCACGCACACACACCACGCACACACCACACGCACACACCACGCACACACCACGCACACACACCGCACGCACACACCACGCACACACCACGCACACACACCGCACGCACACACCACGCACACACCACGCACACACCGCGCGCACACCACGCACACACACCACGCGCACACACCACGCACACACCACGCACACACCACGCACACACCACGCACACACCACGCACACACCACGCACACAGACCACGCACACACCATGCGCACACACCACGCACACACCACGCACACACCACGCACACACCACGCACACACCACGCACACACCACGCACACACACCACGCACACACACCGCACACACCACGCACACACACCGCACGCACACACCACGCACACACCACGCACACACACCACGCACACACCACGCGCACACACCACGCGCACAAAGACAAAGATCACCCGGATAGCCTGAACAGACTGTTGCGGCAAGTGCTGTTAACGAGTTGCACCTACGAAGGCCCACGTGGCACACGGGGTGGTGTGTTGTCAGCGACTCGCCCGGCCCCCTTTGTCTCCCTCGTGGCAAAGTTTGCACACCTCACCAGGTACACGTTTGAGGCCGAGTCTACCTACGGGAGACCCACAACAAACAAACGTCCAAACACACACACTGGCCAACTCCCACTGGCCGACGCTGCAATGTTCAAGCAACGTTGAACAAACTTCAGCGGGCAGCACCTACCTGTGATGTGCACAGTGACACCGCCGCCACTAACCGTGACAACGCTAACGGTGACACCGCTAACCGTGACACCGCTAACCGTGACACCGCTAACCGTGACACCGCTAACGGTGACACCGCTAAGGGTGACACCGCTAACGGTGACACCGCTAACCGTGACACCGCTAACCGTGACACCGCTAACCGTGACACTGCTAACGGTGACACCGCTAACGGTGACACCGCTAACCGTGACACCGCTAACGGTGACACCGCTAACCGTGACACCGCTGTGACACTGCTAACGGTGACACCGCTAACCGTGACACCGCTAACTGTGACACCGCTAACGGTGACACCGCTAACGGTGACACCGCTAACGGTGACACCGCTAACGGTGACACCACTAACGGTGACACCGCTGTAACACCACTAACCGTGACACCGCTGTGACACCGCTAACCGTGACACCGCTGTGACACCGCTAACCGTGACACCGCTAACCGTGACACCGCTAACCGTGACACCGCTAACGGTGACACCGCTAAGGGTGACACCGCTAACGGTGACACCGCTAACCGTGACACCGCTAACCGTGACACCGCTAACCGTGACACTGCTAACGGTGACACCGCTAACGGTGACACCGCTAACCGTGACACCGCTAACGGTGACACCGCTAACCGTGACACCGCTGTGTCACTGCTAACGGTGACACCGCTAACCGTGACACCGCTAACTGTGACACCGCTAACGGTGACACCGCTAACGGTGACACCGCTAACGGTGACACCGCTAACGGTGACACCGCTGTAACACCACTAACCGTGACACCGCTGTGACACCGCTAACCGTGACACCGCTGTGACACCGCTAACCGTGACACCGCTGTGACACCGCTAACCGTGACACCGCTAACCGTGACGCCGCTAAGGGTGACACCGCTAAGGGTGACACCGCTAACCGTGACACCGCTAACCGTGACACCGCTAACCGTGACACCGCTGTGACACCGCTGTGACACCGCTAACGGTGACACCGCTAATGGTGACACCGCTAACGTCATCTCGATGTGGGGACGTTACCGGCGGGGGGGGGGGGGGATGCAAGGTGACATCTCTCGTTGCACAGGCGGTGGGCGGGAGGATGGCGGCATTCCTCGCCCGTGCCCTAGTCGAACATGAAGGGGGAGCGACTCGCGGCCCGGAGGACCATCGAGGCATTTGGTGCCCAGCTCCTGCTTTAGCAGCCCTGCGGGGGGGGGGGGGGCCCAGTGGTGGAAGTTCCTCACTTCCTCTGGCACTCACGTTTGTCGACTCCAAGGTGGATGACCGATGGCGTGAGTCAACCCCCTCCCCCCCCTCCCCCCAACCACGATTTGAACTCTGAACCTTCTGGCCGCGAACCGCTCATTCTGCCGCCCGGTGCAATACATTTGTGACCGCTCCAACGGCTTACTGGAATACGCCCGTGGGCGCGGAACGTCGTTTGCCCATAGACAAGTTTCGCGCTTAGCGGTTCACGATTATAAACCGCGGTTCGCAAAAAACGGCGCCAATGCACAACAACAACAACAAAACAACAACAACAACAAAACAACAACAACAAAACAACAACAACAACAACAAAACAACAACAAAACAACAACAAAACAACAACAACAACAAAACAACAACAACAAAACAACAACAAAACAACAACAAAACAACAACAAAACAACAACAAAACAACAACAAAACAACAACAACAACAACAATGCCGACCGTTAACTCACCGCGACGATTTTAACGAATGGGACGACCGCGTTCCGTCGGCGCTTGGAGCGTGGAGGATGAACCCCGCCGTGCGCCAACACAGAGAGAGAGAGAAGGGGGGGTGGGGGTAGGGGTGGGGTAGGGGGGGGGGTGGCAGCGACCCCACCAGGCACGGCCGCTGCCCCTTGTCCCGGTGCCGCGTCACAAACCCCGGGGGCCCTGTGGCGTTGTCTCACCGCGCGTTGTCCCGCGACGCTGGCCCCCCCCCCCTTCCCCCCCCCCCCCGCAGCCACCGGTTGTCGTGACTGTCGAGCGTGAAGGCCGGGGCGGGAGGACCGGTTGCCCGCGGAGGGGGGGGGGGGCACGGAGAGGAAGGGGGGGGGGGGTAAATTCAGACAGGGAGCCCCCCCGTGGTTTGTTCCTTGCGCCAGGGCCTCGTGGAAACCGGCGGGGGTCCGTCACTTTAGGGGGGCTGTGGGGCCCGGGGGTTGATTTTACGTGACCCCCCCCCCCCTCGACAATCCCGCGAGAGGCGCGACATTCACCACAATGTACAAACAAGAGAGAGAGAGAGACGACTAGTACTACTACTACGGAGTGGAATGGCGAGCGAGAATCACGACGACACCAACACGAGGTGCAGGGAAGGCCGTGGGCGGGGTGGTGGAGGGCCGCACGTGGAGCGGCGTTCTCCATTGCAAGGCCACCACGCGAGACACTGGCGGCGGGGGGGGGGGGCCCTCACGTGACAACAACGCCCCCCCCCCCCAATCATCATCATCATCGAGCTGTCGTCTAAGCCAACAGTGGCGGCACCCTCGACACCGCTGATGATCTTCTTTGGTTCTTTCGGTTAAAGTCACGTAGAATGAGAATAAAATAATAAATTAAATAA